GTTCTCCTATGTCCTGAGTCTTTACTGACCTTGAAAGGCTAGGGCCATAATGTTGGCTGACCTTGCAGCCCTTCCTTTTCTCCAATTTTGATCTGCTAACTTAGGTTGTTAACCCTCCAGAAGAGAAGCTTATTGTTAACCTGCAATATATGCAGTTTGGTTTACCCTATATGTCTAGATATCAAACATCTTTTGCATATCATGGAACAGGCATTTTCCATCAAATATTGATATGTTGAACTTAAAGTCCTTACAGAATATGAAGGAAAAATAATTTTATAAAAGTAAAAATAAGCATTAACATATTTTACAAAGAAATTTAGAAATCTAACCATATACAGAATTGTGACAGGACAGATCTGTGACACTTTTTTTTCTTATTCTTGTGTCTTTTTTTTTTCAATTTATTACCCTTTTAAAAAAAAAGTCTTTACTTGAGAGACATTATGGCAATAAATGGTATGTCATGACAAGAAGTACATATTTAGAAGACCAGGAAGAGTGTTGACCAGTTCTCAATACTCTTCCCTTGTAAGAACTATCCTAGGGTACAAGGGGCCTACTGTAGTTAGTGTACCTAGTGTACTGTTATGGTTTGTGTCTTGTTTTTCCCCCAAAGCCTCATGCAGTCATGGGCAGACATGAGCAAAAAGCTCACAACTGCTCCTCTTAGGGGAATCCTGAGCTTCAAATCTCCTTCTGCCTCTAAAGAGGTTGGTGAGGTGAGTTCCAGGGCTCACTACCATTCAGCAAAAGATGTTAGAAGCAGTGAGGTAACAGCTCAGTGTGACACTGTTTGTGTATGTGTGTGTACGCACATGTGCATGCACACACACACTGAGGTGTAACCAAGGGCCTCACACATGCTAAGCACAGACTCACCATCGGGCTATACTCACCCCCCTTACTGCTTCTTGTAAGGGAATTAAGTACTTTCTTAGGTACTCTTCTCTCATTGCTGGGAGAAAATAACCAATACCCAACACGAAGGAAGGAAAGGTTTATGGAGTACAGTCAGTGGAGGTTTTAGTTCATACTCAGCTGGTTTCAAGGCAGAGTGGCACACAGCAGAGGGCAGCAGTTCATGGCAGTGGCAAAGAGTAAAAGGGCAGGAGCAGTGGCAACAATAGCTACAGAGAGCAAATCTGTCTCCCTTAAGTCACATTCAGACTACCACCCCAGACTGGGTATCGTACTCACACTCATAATCCCAGCAGCATTCACACCCATAATCCCAGTGAATCATGAGTTAATCACAAACTCTAGAAGTCCTCCCCATGACTGCATGAAGCTCGGGGGGGACAACTAGACACAAACTGTAACATTCTGTCCCTGGACCTCCAACGTCTCATGTACATCCCCTTGTCCAAAAGACACTTTAGTCTATCTGTAAGAGTTGCCAAAGTCCTAACAGTTCCAGCATTGCTGAAAAGTTCAAGTCCCAAGTCTCCTCCAAGATCTAAGGCAAACTCTTAACTGTGAGCTCCTGTACAAATGGAAAGTTAAATACTTCCAACATTCAATGGCACAAGATACAAAAGGTACACACAACAGGAGAATATAAAGCATTGGTACCAACACAAGTCCAAAATCTAGCAGGACAAATATTAAGTCCTGTAGTTCCATGTGGAACATCTGAAGCAATCTGTAGCAAACTGTGAGGTCCATGTGGCTCTGCCCCTATGACTCTTGGTAATAGCTCCCATGGCTTCTCTCTTAGACCAGCTTTGCTCCCTCCTTGAACTTTCCCTTAGATGATCCACTTTCCTAGCTTTTCCAAATTTCTGGGGTTTCCACTGAATATGTTTCTCACAGTTTTACACACTGCCCTCTCAGGGGCACACTGCCTAGCCTCCCAGGCCTTCTTCTGAAATCTTAACCTCAGAACTCCTGCATTCTGAATGAGCCTAAAACCAGTGCTATGCGGACAATGCCAAGGTCTGCTGCCAGCTGGAAGCCAAGCTTCCTTGTCTCTTGGCTGTCAGGGGTGAATGCCTGGATCACTTTTTTTAGTATATGTGCTGCCGAAGCAAGCACGAATGCCTGGATCACTGAGCACTCTGACCCTGATTCCAAGGAATAAATTCTCCATGCTGGCGCCATTCTGGAACCTGGTGTGGCTGCTGCCACCATTCTGGAATATAGGGCTCTGTGGCTTTTCTCCCAGGGCAAAGTCCTTCACCCTTGGTTCTGAGGCTGCAAAGGGTGGAGACCTGCCACCTCCTGTGGTGCCCTCAGGCCATACTTACCATTCTCTCATTCCTTCTTGGTAATAGAGATCGTCTCAGCTCCATCTTTGCATTCTACAACTTTATGGGAGCTTCCTTTCTGGCTAAACTCAAATTTTAAATCATCCTGCTGGGCTCCTTGCTCTTGATTCTCAACATAAATCTGGTTAAAAGCCCCCAATAACATCTGTGCCACTGCCTCAATATTTGGCTGCTTTAAAATTTCTTTTGAAAGATTAATCAGTCCACCACACTTAATCTCATTTTTAGGTAAAGTCTCTGGACATGAGCAAAATTCAAACTTTCTGTCAGTCCATAGCACAAATCATCTGAAGTCAAATGAACAAATGAACAATGCAGTCCTTCTTCTCAGAAGAAACCTTCCCAGCCTGGTCTTTACAGGTAGGCTTTCTATCAGCTTCCTGGCCTTCTGATCTCTGACCAGAATCTCCCATATGGAACAGCCAAAGCTGTTCCAGTGCTTCTCTTTTAGGTGACATCTCTAAACCTTTCTTATCTTTTTCCATAAGCCATTCCCAAAAGCTCATAATCCACATGGTCAGGTTTAGTCACAGCAATGACCCCACTTCTCTGGTACCAAATTTCTGTCTCAGTTATGCTTCTCTCATGGCTGGGACAAATACCTGACACTCAAAATCTGGAAAGCAAGGTTTATTTAGCTCACAGTTATGGGAGGTTTTAGTCCATACCGAGCCCATCCCAGTGGATCATGAGTTAATCACAAACTCTAGAAGTCTGCCCCATGACTAGATGAGGCTTTGGGGGACAACTAGACACAAACTGTAACAGTACACTGGGCACACGAACTACACTAGGCCCAACTGCATATATTCTGGAATCCTGAAAATTCACCTAATTGTTACTAACAGAATCAAATATGCTGTAGGCCGCAGATGAAAAACATTCCTGATTCTGACAAACTTTAAGGACACTATTCAAGGTAACTTCAGTAAAAATTTTTTGGATTGAGTTATATATATTTGTAGTGAACAAAGAGTAGAGCAGGTGACTGCTTTAAGCAGAATAACCCTGGGAACATTATCTTTCTCTATAAATATCTATGTATTACCAAGAAGTTTCTTTTCACAGGGATTTATGCATACCCAGAACACTGGCTCTGAAGATGGGAATGATTTCATTAAGGCACTCACATTTTATAAATCCTATTTTGTAGTTAGGCTCCAAAATTTACAAAATAAATTGTGACTACTAGCAAGCGAGGCCTGTAATCCCAGGATGCAGGAGGCTATGGCAGGACGATTGCAAGTTTCTGGGCCAGCCTGGGCTGTAGAGTTAGTACAAGGTCAGCTTGAATGACATAGCAAGACTCTGTCTCAAAAAACCAAAAATAAGGGCCCAGGAGATGGCTCAGTAGAATAAGCGCTTGCCTGGCAAGTGCAAGGGCCTGAGTTCAATCCCCAGTTCCGCCAAAAAAAATTAAAAATTTAAAAAAATTTAAAGGCCAAAAATAAATAAATAAGTAATGCAAGCAGGCGCAGCAGCCGGGGATTTGATCCCTAGACCTGCCATGCCAACCCCACCCCCACAGTGTACTGAGAAGACAATTGAGGCTGGGCGTGGTGGCACCTGCCTCTTATCCCAGCTCTTGGGAGGCTGTAAACAGGTAGATCACTAGGAGTCTGACCTAGAAGTGAGACCCTGAACACCCTGTAGATCCTTCCCTAAAATACAAAAAAAAAAAAAAAAAAAAAAAAAGTAGTGAATGCTAACAAGAATAAATATAATAAAGTCAGATATCATTGCAAACATTGGCTAAAATAGAGATATTATTTCTCTCCAATCCATGAGAAGTAGAGCCACTACTAAAGGCTTCCCTGATTCACCAACCAAAACAAATTCAAGTCAGGTCAGTGGTATATACCTATAGTCTTAGCTACTTGAGAATCTGAGGCTGGAAGATTGAATAAGCAGAATTTGAGGCCAGCCTGGGCAACACAGTTAGACCCTGTCTCATAACAATACTTTTTCAAGACCTCTTTTAACTGGAGCCTAATTTAAAAATAGATGTATTAAAATGTATTTACTGTTGTGCTGGGGAGATAGCTCAGTAGCTTAAGGGCCTGCCTGGCAAGCATGTGGTCCTGAGTTCTGTCCCCAGTACCACAAAAAAAAAAAAAGAATGAAAGAAAGAAAGAAAAAAGTATTTACTATTAAAAATATACAAAGATATTGATTACATTTTCAAAAGCCCATCTTACCTTATAGGTATTCCAAAATTTCTGCTTTAGGTCTAAAAATATGTCATCTTTTCCCTGAAGAATGCTCATACCTATTTGCAAAAACATACACCAAAAGCTTTTTTAAATATTAAACAGGAAGAGTTTATATTCAAGTTTCCTATTCCAATATAGGAAGCACCCACCATTTATCATTCACTCAATAGATCCCTTTTGACCCAACAATGAAAAGAGAAAATCATCTCTATTCTAAATCTCCATAAGTGTTAAAGGGATGACACATAAGAAAATAAGCCAGAAGGACACAAAGGTGAAAGCAGATAGTTTTAAGCCAAAAAAATTTGTAAGAATACACAAAAACTACATGGGCTAATGGATCTACAAATGACTTTTCTCTACCTTCCCAATTTTTGTGAAGTGTTAAATTTTTTAAACTTTTTTGTCTGAGTGTGTGTGTGTGTATGTGCATGCTGGGGTATGAACCCAGGATTTATTGACAAAGCACAGCGTCTGCCATTGAGCTAGACTCTCACCTTAATGTCATTCTTTTTAGAAAAGGCTGATGAACTCTAGAATATTCTAGCAACTGTTAATTTCCCTTCTCTATTATTCTAATTAGAGTTGGAATGCAAAGTCCCAATTTAGTGTTCCTAAAAACACTTTGAAAACTTTCACCTTTAACATCCCTGAAAACAAATTTTGGGAACAAGAACAAAACTCTATTTTAAGAAGGTACAGGGGGCCTGCCCCTTAGCTCAGTTCTTTAAGAGGCTGCTTCAAAAAGGAGTCAGGCTCAGGTTGCTGTGCTTCAATCCCCACAACTCAAGCCAGCCAAACTTGCCCTGATGGCATTTGGAGGAAAAAAAAAAAGTAAAAAATGAGTGCTTAGGGGCCAGAGATATAGCTCAGTAGAATAATCTCTTGCCTGGCAAGTGCAAGGGCCTGAGTTCAATCCCCATTCTGAAAATAAAATAAAATAAAATGAGTGCTTTGAAATTCTCTTCTAGATGGACACAGTGGCAGACACCTGCACTGCAGAGGCTGAAGCAGGAAAATCACTATGAGTTTGAGGCCAGCTAGAGCCACATGGCAAGACCCTGTCTCCAAAAAAATGAAACTCCAAAAGCCAAACCAAAACAACAAAAACCTGCCCATCCCTGATTAGGAGGGAGGGAGATAAGAGTTTATTACTTAAATGCAGGAGATTCTTAGAACAAGATTCACAAGAAAATCCAGAAAATATTAGTAATACTGTAATACTGTCTTCCACTTATCCAGCACTAAATAAATACTAAGCACTTTGTGTGCACCACTTAATTTGAATCCTCCTAAACAATTTGCAGAAGTAGGCAGAGTTAAAAGGAAGAAAAGATCTTGGTGGGGTTCAGACCAGAAGAATCCAAACCAGGTGTCCAGTTTCTAAACCAGACCTCTTAATCCTCTATTACTCTGGCTCCCTAAAGGGGACCTGGCTCAAGCCTGGTTCACCCAACCCCAAGTAATGTCTTAAACAAACAACATCCACCCACCACCTTCCACCTTTCCCTTTTCCTTGTAACAGGAGGCCAGGGAAACTGGACCAGAAATCTGAAGAGCAAAACAAAGTAGCTATCTGGGGAGGAATCCAGGGGCCTCTGGCCTGATTCATAGATGCCCCTAAGCTCTGGAACAACAGCATCTTTCTGTCTCAGCTAGACTGACCAGACTCTTGTATCCAGAGCATCAGAATTTAGAGCCCTAGACTGTGTCACCTTTGAGCAAATTGCAGAACTCCTCAAGTCTCAGTTTCCCTGAGTCCAACAAGGTCATAATAAGAGTATCTGTCTCTCTGGTTGTCTGAGGATTAAACAAGAGTCTGGTCCCCACTCCACCCTTGGCTCCCAGGCCCTGCCCCAGTGCACAAGGCTGCTGTAGTAACCAGGCCACAAGAACCTGTTTGCAAAGCTGATCAGAAAGTCACAGCCCCTGATCTCTGGTCATCTATTCTCTTAACCCTTTTGACTCCATCAGCCATGCAGAGAAAGAAACTGAACGTGCCTTCCTTCAAATAAGTCCCATGCGACTGGGTAAAGTTTTTCAAAATGCTGGCTTGTCTGCCCTCAAACAGTATTTTTTTTTCTAATTATTTTAGTTTTTAGGTTTTTGAAATAGGGTCTCACTATGTAGCCGAGGCTGGCCTTGAACTCACTACATAGCCCAGGTTGGCCTCAAACTCACGGCAATTCTCTTGCCTTGGCCTTCTGAGTGCTGGAATTACAGGCATGTGTCACTACGCCCAGCCTCAACCAGTTTTAGAGGGCATGAACAGCTACTTAGAGGGGCCCCTTCCTATTTTGGGGAGAATTTCTGATGCCCTATGACAAGATCAATGGAGGTTTTCTTTTTTTCTTTCTTCTTTTTAGGTCTTTTTGAGACAGGGTCTCACTATGAAGTATAGGCTGGCCTTGAGCTCACTTTGTACCCTAGGCTGGTCTTGAAATTGGAATGATCCTCCTACCTCAGCCTCCTGAGTGCTAGGATTATAGGTGTGTAACACTATGCCTGGCTTTCTGGAGACTTTCTGAGGTAATGGGTACCCTTCCCCAATTATCCACTTCCTTCAAGCCTACTGAAATTGCTAGAATAACAGAAGCCATTGAGGCCTTTCTATTTTTCTTGTTAATCAGACATAGAGAAGCTTCCCAAAGTCAGGCCTTCCACTCTAAAGTGTAATGTCTGAGATCAGAGCTCTGGCACAGGTATAGAATCCCCACAGTCAAATTTTGTTACCAAAGCAGGACCAGGAGCCCGGGGAAGAATTTTCTGAGGAATCAGCCCCTACCACAGGTCCTACTAGCTGTGTCCCCAGGCTCAGCAATTCCCACATGTTACTGGTGCATGGATTTTCCACAGGACAAGTGGCCCTTAGGACTGTGGTTCTATAGTGTCAAGCTGGGGTCTCCAATGTGTCTTTTTTAGAGAGAAATGGACCCCAACCCCCGATTGGCCCTACTTGCCCCTGCCTTGGATCCTGCCCAGTCCTAGCTTCTCTGCTGGTACTTGAGCCACCTGGATCTCTGGCCCGAGGGGCCTCCGGTTCCCCAGCTCCTCTCCCTTTCAAAAACCTCAGGCCCCAGTCTCCAAGCCCAGGCCCTGCGCCCAGACCTCCAGGTCCCTCCCCAGAGCCTGGAGCATCGTTTCCTGAGCTCCGGGCTCCAGCCTCAGGGCCCCAGCAGTGCCCTCCACCCCACCCCACCCCAAAGCAAGCCCCACAACCTCCGCGGGGTGCTCCCAGGCGCCCCAGTTCGCAGGCCCCTCACCAACGTAGAAGGTTGAGAGAGCGATGGGCCCTCCGAGCAGCTGGTCGCACAGCACCTTGGTGAGAACGACGCGCGGCGCGCGGCCCGGCAGCGCGCGCTCCAGCAGGCGCAGCCACGCGTAATTGAAGTTGCCGTGGAAGGTCACGGCCAGGGTGGCCACGCGCCGCGTCTGGCGCCAGTCGGCTGGGCCGCCCCGCAACCGCTGCTGCAGCGCGTCGCCCGCCGAGAAGAGCCCGGTGTAGAGCAGCACGTTGGTGGGCCAGGGGTAGCGCAGGGCCGCGCGCGGAAGCGCCCGCCACCAGCCCGCCATGCCCGCCCGCCTGCCGGCTTCCTGCGCCGCGCGGAGGCCAGCGCAGCCTCCACCTCCACCTGCGCCTCCGGTTGCTCGAGTGCGATTGGGCGCCTGGCGCGCACCAACCCGAGCGCCCAGCGGGGGAGGTGGGGCCCAGTCTTCGCAGTATGCCTTGTCCCCTTAGTGCTTGCGCGCGTCTTCGTGAAATGTCCATACTAGACGCATACAGACAGAAAGTAGATTAGCCGTGGTCAGGGCCTGGGTAATTTGAGAACAGGTAATGATTGGTACTGGAGCACGGGGCTCTCTTTTGCAGTGATAAAAACATTTTTGTGGTCAGACAGGAGTGGTTACATGATTTTGTGAACATGTGAAAGACCATGTCAGTGACATAAGCGCCTGCTTGGCAATCACAAGGTCCTGAGTTTGATATCTGGTACCGAAAAAAACAAAAAAAGCCATGGACCCGCACACTTTAAAGTTGTGAATTTGTGATTTTTTGTGACACACGAATTCTATCTTGAGGGTTGCTCAGTTACCAAACTCGTAATAAAGTTTAAAAGTTTTCCTGCAAAGAAGTCACCCTTTCAACACACCCATTACACTAATTGTGTCTCTTCATTTGGAGACTGTCAGAAGGTAAACTCTTTTTTTCCACTCCTACCTCATCGATCAATGCCTCCCAAAGCAAACGCTGAGGTCCCAGACTCTATTCTTACACAAGTTTGTTGTTGTTCTTTTTTATTTTGTTTTGTGGCCGGCTCAACGGAGCTGTGGGTGGGACTGGCACAGCACGTGGTGCCAGGGGTCGAACCTGGGTTCCTGCGCTTTTACCTAAGCTTGCCTAAGCAGGCGCTTAGACGGCTGAGCTATCTCCCTGACCCTACACAGGGGTTTAAGAAAAATGGGGCAAATCTCTGACTTCAGAGTTTATATTCTCCTTGCTTGTTTTCTGCCTTTGTGGTTGTTGTTGTTCTTTCTTCATGGTGGCATTTAACAGCCTCTTTCCACCCCTATTTTACTAAATTCTTAAATTTCTAACTTTTCGTTTTGTTGTTGATTTGAAACAGAGTTGCACCATTATCTTGAGCTCACTATGTAACCCAGCCTGGCTTTGAACTCTCAGAAATCCTCCTGCCTCAGCCTCACAAACTCCGGGATTACAGCCCTCCATGTGATACCTCGTTAAATTTCTAACTTTTAATTTTGAAATAGTCCCAGGCTTAGAAAAAAGTTACAAAAATAATAGAGACTTCTTGTATACTCTTCACTCAAGCTTCTTCAAATATTAACATCTTACACAATCATAGTACAAAACAAGGAAATAAGTACAGATGTAATGCTCTTACCTAATCTACAGAGTTTAGTCAAATTATTGCCCCAAAGTGCCTGTCTCCCAGATTCAGTTCTAAATCATTTTATATTGAATTGAATAGTCTTATTGCTGTGTCTGCTATCTAGGGGGGCTAACTATTTTCCAGACCATCCCTGTCTAACGAGCCCATTGTTGTAAACTGAATTATGTGTCCCCCAACCCTTGTTCATCCATTGAAACTCTAAACTCTTAGTACCTCAGAATGTGATCATTTTGGGAGATTGATCCCTAAAGAAATAAGGTGAATAGGGTCGGCTCCAATACAATCTGCCTGGTGTTTTTTGTTTCTGTTTTTGGCCTGGTGTTCTTAAAAGAAGAGGAAACAAAGATATAAGGAGTCATTTTTTCACACAGGGAAGAGAAACTGTGGAGACCTAGTGCGAAGGTGGCCATCTTATAAGCTAAGGAGAAAAGAGTCAGAATCAAACTAACCTTGATCCTGGACTTCTAATCCCCAGAACTGTGAGGAAATAAATTTCCATTGTTTACACTCCTAGCCCATAGAACTTTACTACAGCAACCCTAGCAAATTCATAGTCCCACTCTCATCAGTTCTTGGGGATCAGTCAGTTTCTATGTTTTTTTTTTTTTTTAACCTTTATTATCTGCCCATTTTCCAGTTTCTAGCCCTCTATGGTCCTTGTCTTTGCTACTGGTCCCAAATAAATCTGTGGGCATTTTCCCAGCTAGGCATGCTCCTAGCTCACCAAAACTCCTCTTTCTTTGCTCATTATGTCCCCCTTGTATTATTTTCCAATTTCTGCTATAACACAAATTTAATGGCTTAAAACAAATCTGTTGCCTTTAAGTTTTGGAGGTCAGAATAGGAGCCTCATTCTCTCTGGAATCCCTACAGGAGAGGTCATTTCCTTGGCTTTTTAGCTTCTAGACCTTTGGCCACATCATTTATGGTGAAAGTCACCAATGTAACACTTTCCAGTCTCTCACAGGTATTTCTCAATGCCACGTTTCCCTAGGATTATATTAGCCAACCTAGGTAACCCAGACAATCTCAACATCTCAAAATCCTTAATAACATCCCCAAAGTCCCTTTTTCTGTGTAAACTAGTACATTCTCAGGCTTTGTAAGTTAATATGTGGATATGTGAAGGGAGGTCATTTTCATCCCACTTATGCTCCTGCGTATGTATTTGTCTTCTCTGGTCTCAGCTAGCAGAAATTGATCCTAATAGCTGAAATAAGATTACCCATTTCTCAACACCTATATTGCTTAGAGATCAGAACTATCTGTCTAAGCATTTATTCATCCGTTCATTTATTCAACTGATAAATATGCTAAATACCATTTTGTACTAGGCAATGAACTATAGGTTGTGGAAAGATTTTGTATTTGCATTGTTAAAAAAATCTAATACCTGCCTACATTAGTGGAAATTGTTATGACCTATGGAAAAGAAATTTAAAAAAAGAAAGTTCCCTTGTGGTTCCTGCACAATTTTGGTCTGTACACAATTGAAAATTAAAATTGAACTCATGGCAATCCTCTTGTTTTCATCCTCCCCAATGCTAGGATTACAGGCATGCACAACCACTCCTGGTGCTCAGCTCACCTCAAGGGCAGGGCTGGCGCAGCAAGTGGTACCAGGGATAGAACCCTGGTTCCTGTGCTTGCCAAAGCAGGCACTTTGTCTGCTGAGCTATCTCTCCAGCTCTCTGCACAATTTTCTTAATCAAATTTATTGGAGAAATCATAGAAAAAAACTTGATTATTGAAAAAGGAGACTAGGAGCTAGAAGGTTAGAAAGGGATTAGGTTTGCCAAATCCTGACATAAAGGATATACCTTTACTTGTAAATATCAGATAAGCAATGAATAACTTTTTTTAAGGGTATGTCCATTGTGATATCTGGGGTATGTGTGTACTGAACAAGACTTCCCAGGCCACCTCACATTCAAAGATAACTGAGCACTCCATAGTTTTAATGATTTTTTTTGCTGAGTCTGACAACCCCAGAGGAGTGGGACTAATGTTCCCAGAGAGCCTACTGTATGTGTCAGTTTCTGCACTGCCAACCTTATTCCATACAGAAACCTATGAGGCCAAAGATTGGTAACAATCTACACATGCATCTGTTTTCCAAGACCAGGGCAGACTTTATCAAGCAGCTCAACATATTTGCATCATGGGAACTGAAATAAAGACAAACACTTAGGAGACCTAGGAAGTTTCACATGGAGTGTTGTATACTTGTCTCATCTTAAAATCAGTTTAAATAATTCAGTAGCCAGAGGCAATCTATTAATCAAGCAAATGGCAAAAGACCCTCGACCTTCAATTAAAGATGACATTAGAAGATAAATTAATTCATTCTATTGATGCTGCATCATCAGTGGAAACTGTGATTCAGAGATTTCTGGCAATAAGGAGGTAGCACATTGCCATAGCATTTTGATCGCTGAACAGTGAGGATGGCTGGAAACACAGGGTTGTGGTAATACATAAAAGGCAAGCATCGTTAGGAAGTCTTTCCGGGGAGAGTAAGTGGGCACTAAGCTTCAATTTGCAACCAGGGATCACATTAAAAATACGTTATGATGATGACGACGATGAGGGCTGTCATAGTTGTTAGTATTTCATTTTGTTTGAATGAATCAGGGCTTAATAAGAAACACCAACTGAACTACAGTATCTAGAATCTAGTTTCTCTTGCTATCCCTGACATTTCTACTGACAACCAAAAGACTGCTATGCCTACTAGGCCAACGGGTAGTGTTTCAAACAGCTAGTGAAACTGAGGAAAAACCCAAATAAAACTTCTAGTTTCACTTGTCTTTAGTGACTTGCTTCTGTTACCAAGTTTAGAGTTGAAGCAGCTACGCAAAATACTCGTATTCACCTTTGCTACAGATAACACCTGGGACCATAGGTCACAATGACAACTGTTGCCTATTGTTTTCCAGGAACTTGGAGGACACTTTTGTCTTGTAAACCACAAACCACTGTTCAAGTGTCCTAAGAGTAGTCTATTAATGCCAGAGAATCAAATATCTGCAGTTTTCTAAATATGCATTCAGGGATGGAGAGATGGCTCAGTGGTCTAAAGCACCTACTTGGAACAGGCTTAGCAAAAGCATCAGGGACCGCGGTTCAATCCCCCAGCACCACATGCCAGCCAGCCCCGCCCCTGGTGGGCTGAGCTGGCCACACACACACACACACACACACACACACAGTAAATAAATGTAAAAATAAATAAACAAAAAAAGTTTAAAAAAATATGCATTCAGTGAACAGCCATGAAGTTTTATTTTATGCATGAGAAGACCACTGGTGCTATCACTTTACCTCCACTCACCTTTCTCAACACCTCCAACCACTCTGCTTCTGTGTCCCAGAAATGCCACTTAACTCTATCCTTGCAGAGGCAGATTTGAGACTCAGATTCTTTAACCATAGTCTTGTGAACTCTTTGCATTGCTGGAGATGGATACTAGGGCCTTGCATATGCTGGGCAAATGGTCCTCACCTGAGCTCTAGGCCAGCATTAAACTCTCCTTTGCAAAACTATGCATTATAGCTCTAGACAATAGACAAAGGAAGACTTGTTCAGGAACAACAACATTGAGGTTCCTTGTGTCCTTTCAACATGAATCTCTAAGACATGTTTATTGGTGGTGTTGGACCAGGGCAAGAGCCTGAAGCAACTGCTTTCCTCTTTGTCACCTGAACTGAGGCTGGT